AGCATCAGAAGAAGTTGAAAGGAGTATACAGAGTCAGTGTACCAAAAAGAATTGGATGACACAGAAGAATTTAATGAAAAAACATATTGCCAAGAGGCAATGGTGATAAAAGAGGAAGTTCAAGCTGTTCTGTAGTAATTAGCAAAGAACCAGTCCCCAAGAATAGATGGAATACCAACTCACATATTTAAACAAACAGGTGCAACCGTGGACATGCTCACCAGATTGTGCCTAGAAATTTGAAGAACAATTACCTGGCTGACTGACTAGAAGAGAGCTATATTTATTCCCATTCCAAAAAAAGGTGACCTAACGTTGTGGAAATTATTGAACAGTATCATTAATAGTAAATATTCAAGCACAATCCTGCTGAAGATTATCTAAAAATGACTGCCAGATGTGAAAGCTTGATTTAGAAGAGGCTGTGGAACTAGGGACATTATAGTCAATGTTAGGTGGATCTTAACTGAAAGCAGAGAATACCAGGGGAATGTCTATCTATATTTCATTGACTATGAAAAGGCCTTTGACTGTGTAGATCACAGCAAATTATGGCTAGCCTTGAGAAGAATGGGAATCCCAGAACACTTGATTGTGCTTATGCGAACCTATACTTGGACCAGGAAAAAGTCCTCAGAAGAGAGCAGGGAAACACTACATCGTTCAAAATCAGCAAGGGATACTTCCTGTCTTCATACATTTTTAATCTATTGTGGAACAGGTCATTTGGGAAACTGGACTTCATGAGGAGAAATGTGACATCAGGATTGGAGGAAGGCTTATCAACAACTTGTGTTATGCAGATGATACCAACTGGCTTCTTAAAACTAAGGAGGATCTAACTTGGAGCGCCGCCCTGGGCCACTGGCCGCTCCCTTTCGTCATGAGTGCTGGGAATGTGGTCCGCCTGGATCCACGCCGTGCAGAGCCGCGCTGGGTGCTGAATGTGAAGCGTGCTGTCCTGAGCCTCTTACAGGGCCAATTGGTTGACGATGACTCCAAGACTGGATGAGGTGGACATCCTGGGTCAGTGTACCACTGCCTACCAGCGCCGAGGTGCCTGGGTGCACAAGACCAAGGATCTGGGACACTGCTCCCTGTGGAGGTACGCTCTGCCCTGGGCACCCTGCACGCCCAGGCCGTGCCTGGAGTCACACAGCCCAGCCTGGCCTCCCACCTGAACTGCCTGCAGAGGTTCGAGGCCAGAGTGCCGATGGAGGCTTCCTGCACAGAACTGCACACCGCCGGGCCACTCTCCGGAAAGGCCAGCACGGTGCAGATGCGAACCTTCTCCTCCATTGTCCTGCTGCACGAGGGGCCCCAGAGTCCACTCAACACAGTGCTTCCTGACTCAGATGCAGACGACAGAGACCTGACCCCCAGCACCTTGCTGTGCGAATGGGAGGAGCCATCACCCCAGTCCTCAGTGGCCACCTGCGGCCTCAGTTAGGAAGCTGTGTCTGGTTCCTGCTACGAGCTTTGAGGCCACTGAACTGTTCCTGATGCTGGTGACTGGACTCCGGGACCTTATCCTGGAAGAGCTGGCGGAACTCTGGCTACGTTCTTCCTTTAAATGTCGGTACAACTGGCAGCCGCTGGTGGACGCCCTGCCCTGTTGTGGCACCGAACCCTGCGTGCGCTTGATGGGTCAGCTCATGGAGGCTCAGGAGGTGGAGAATGAGGAGATGGAGAGTTGGCTCCAGTCATTTGCTTTCCTGCCACAGCCCACAGATGCCATGGTCCTCGGCTTGCTGCCCCTGCTGCAGCCTCTGCAGGCTAGCCCCAGGGCCCTTCTTGGAGTCTCGGCGCTGGTGCACAACCTCTGCGTGTCTCTGGAGGGACCTTGTGGACAGTTACCTGGTGTCAGCACCTTTGTGAGGATCCTGCACGCAGTACTGGGTGAGCACTGCACTACCCAGGACCCTTCAGCCAATGACCAGCTCCGGTTCATATTGAAGGCGAATGGCAATGCTGGCCTGGCAGCCACAGCTCTACTCCCTGCGCTGAGCGCCTGTGCCACCCTGAGGAGCATTGTCCCTGACGTTCAGGTGGCCACCATCCAGGCCTTTCGGAGGGTCCCCGTGCTCTTCCGCCCGTACCGATCCACTGAGGAGGATGCTGAGATCCGCATCAATGCTTACCTGGCCCTGAGGAGGTGTCCTAGTGAGGAAGTGTTTGCTCAGGTGCGCCACACCCAGGCCCGTGAGTGCTCCACCCAGGTGGGTTCCTTTGTGTGGAGTCACCTCCTGCAGCTACTGGAGACAGATGACCCTCTGAAACAAGCCCTCAGAGATGCCCTCCCTGAGGACATCCTCACCCAAGAGTTTCATCCAGAGATCTGGAGACACTCATCCTATTCTGATGTCACCTATCACTCAGCTGGGGATCCGACTGGAAATGGCTAAGGAAATGTTTCGCAAGCTGTTTAGCTGGAAGTCACTCTGGGGACAGGATGAGGAAATCAAGACCCAGTCGGAGAACCTTGAACCAGAACCAGGACCTGCACCACAGCCAGCCAGCTCTGGGTGTCCAGGGGAAAGATCCAGAAAGATGAGAGAAGTACAGCAGAAGGTAGAGGGAAGACTTCATCCCCTCAGCACACGCATACAAACAACCTATCCTTGTCATTCTCAGGGCCCCCTGAATTGTTTGCATCCAGCTGATTTGTTACATGAAGTGGTAAACATTCTGCCTTTACACTCATGTGACCAGCACCTGGACTGCTATTAACATCCCAAAGGTCTCTCTTTCTCCCCCTCTATTCATACCTACTCCTACACAAAATTAACCAGTATTCTAACAGCATCAGTTTCCTTTTTATTCCCCACCCTTCCTGTCCATATGTTGTATAGCGTTTCCGAATCTCTTTTTTAAGCATCTTTAAGTAGGGAATGATTCCTAGCCTTTAAAGATGTTTATTGTTATAAAGCAGAGAGAACACACACACACACACCCCCAACACAAAACCTAAGGAGGATCTGTAGCATTTGCTACATTATTATTAATGCATCTTGTTTGCAAGGTCAATTAATTTCCTACTGTAAATTTGCTTAAGAAGGTCAAGGCCTACAGTTTCCAATATTACTTGAAGCTCAACATCAAGAAAACAAAGATTTTTCACCACTGGGTCAATTGACAGCACCATGATAGATAAATAAGGGATTACAAGTTGTTAACAATCAGCTTGCTTGGTTTCACAATCAACATTCTTGGCACAAGCAGTCAGAAAATCAAAAGATTAATTGTATTAGGAATATCTGCTCTCAAGGACCTCTTCAGAGTGCTGAAGAGCAATGATGTTAGTCTAGAGACTAAGAAAGGCCTGATCCAAGCCATAATCTTTGCAATCAGAGCTGGAAAATGACTAAGGATAATATAGAATCGAAGCCTTTGAGTTGTGGTTCTGGAGTATTGAACATACTACAAACAGCCAAGAGAACAAACAGATCTGTCCTGAAGAGGAAGATACCAAGCTGCTGAGTGGAGGCAAGGATTTTGAAGCTCCATCTCACAACTTTTGCTATGTTGCCAGGAGACACATACTACTTGGAAGGATGGAGGGACAGCACAGGAGAGAAAGACCTTGGATGAGATGGATTCACACAGTAACTGGGATAATGAGTGCAGATGTGTTGGAGGCAGTGAGGTTGGTTCAAGATAGAGCAGGGTTCAGAATTTTTGTACATATGGTTACTATGAATTGCAAGTGACTATAGAAAATAACAGCAATACCATGTTTAGGAAATTTGGACAATGAATAAGAAAGATCAAAGAATTAATGTATTTGGATTGTGGTGTTGGTGACGACCTTTGAATATACCATGAACTGCTCAAAGAAGAAGAAAAAAATCTATGTTACTAGAAGTTTAGCTAGGGTGGTCGTTAGAGGAAACAATAGGAAAAGCAAGAGAAACTGAACTGAAGGAGAAAAACAACCTCAAGAATATGGATTGAAGCAGTGACTGCAACCATTGATTGATCTGTGTACATTGGGTGGCTATGAGAAGAAGGATATTCAAAAACATCTGAAAATAGCCACGTGCGGAAAAGAAAGCACATTGAGTTGTGATCAGATCTATGCTTTAACCTGTATGCTATTATTGTTAAACCCTAATCTTTTGCCTGTTAAGTAACATTAGAAACTCACTTTATCTCTGTATACCTTATATGTCTCAGATATAATACCATTCTGTAGAAAAGAATCTGGATCAAATATTTTATTGTTCTATGTGTTATGAATTAGAATTTTCATATGACTAGTTTGGAAGGAGATACTTTCACTTACCTCATTGTTCTTATGAAAAGTAACTGTCAAGGTATCCTGTATTGACTACTTAGTACTTTTCTCTTTCTTATTGATCTCTTATTAGCATGGATATGTATGAAGTGTTTACAGTCCTTTAGAAAATTTTGTTAACCTGTTTATATATTGTAACTTGTATGTAAAATCTATAACTTCATTACTTTTTTAAACTTTTTTTCTTTCACTAGTAAAATTTTCCAATATTCTTGTCAAAGGTACTGTAAAAGATTTAGTACTTTGAGTACAACTACATGGGAATTACAAAGTTTTGCTTTTGTTTATAACTGATAGATGATATTATTTTTTAATTTTTTTTTTACAGAGGTTTCGGATTTCCATTCATTCATTGCCGCAATTTTCTCCCTGCCCACCCCTCCCCACCAGCTCGCTTCCCCCTCCGAAGAGAGAAAAAAAAATTCCTTCATTAGTATACAATTCCCACGTCCCTTCGCCCCATTCCCCCACCCCGAGTACACTTCTCTATTGAAATAGTTGAGGGAAAGAACAGATTAGAAGTGATATATGATTGAGTATTATGGTTAGCACAGGAATCCAGAGTTATGGTTGCATAGATGATGTTATTTAAAAACAGAGATATTTAAATATTAGTAAAGCCTGATGTGTTTTTATTAAAAGGTATAGCACATATATAGGAAATTTCCTAATGATATATTAAATAGACATTTTATATTTGTAGCCTTGTTCGGGGCCCAGGGATTTGGGGAGAGGTGATTGTGTACTGGAGAATATTCCCTCCTTCAGATGGAGAATTTGTTGAAACATCTGGACAACTGATGATGCGTGATGGACAGTCTGCAGCCATTGTTGTAATACAGGTATTAATGCTAGTAGTTTCTGTTAAGCCCTTTGTTCACTGGATGTGGAAGGGGGTAAATGTGATTGGTTAATATAATACAGTTTTGTGTTGATTTGTGGGGTGGCAGAAGCCTTGAAAATTGCTTTTCTAGCCATTGTGTTAGTTTCCAGCTACCTTAACTGTTGACACATGGTCTTTAAAACGTGAACAGCTGTGCAACCAATAATAAGAAAAGCACTTTCTGCACTGTGGGAATGGGTGGTGACAATGATGAAGAAACTGATCCTGCTGTGAAAAGACTGTGGCAAGGTGTAATCAGAAGAATCTTTGAGATATAGCCATTGTTAAAGGTTTTACTTGCTGAACAGAAACCTGGAAAAGCTGACTTATAACTGCTCTAAGATAAAGTTTGCTTCAAAATTGAGGAAACTAGAGGTTTTTTACATTTGGACTGCTGAACTGAAACTTGGACTTTCACTAACTGAGGAAATACTTTTTACTGTTAATATGGCTTGGGGTTGTTGAAATAAACCTGAACTTGCATTGAGTGATATTCTTGGCTTCCCCCAATTCTCCAATTTATTTCTCTAATAAACCCCACAAAATAAAGTAGGCCAACAATGAGTGTTAGACCCAAATGAATGGTAGAAAGAGGTGCAGGAGCATGGTGGGTCACATGTCTCACTGAGAAGTTTAATGCTATGAGTATTATTGAAGGGGAACCATTCCCTTTATGAAGTGAGTAGTAACCAGATTCAGCCACTTTCATATTACAACTGCTTCTTTTGAAATATAGTAGGTATATTTCTTTAAATTTTGCCCATCATGTGAGTAGTGTTTTTGTTTTTCTCTAGGCATTGAATGATGATATTCCTGAGGAAAAGACTTTCTTTGAGTTTCAGCTCACAGGAGCCAGCGAGGGAGGTACACTGAGTGAATCCAGCCGCACAGCTAACATCACAATGGTGGCCAGCGATTTGCCCTATGGTCGATTTTCCTTCACACAGGAGCAGCTGCGCGTGGCAGAAGAAACACACCAGGTACATCGTGAAATGCTCCAAGCCTTAAATAGCATTTTTGTTTTGATGTTTTGAGTAATCTATTAAACTTATTTTCTCACTATGATTCCAAAGTTTTCTCTGATTAGTTGCTTTCTAACATCAGTAATTCAGTGTGTGATTTTTAACATAATTTCACTGAAGAGAATAATTAATCAAGGACAATAATATTAAGTATTTGAAAACAGATCAAGCATCCAAATGCAATACAAAATGCCTTTCTTACTTGTAGGTGAACATTACCATCATCCGATCACATGGAGCTCTTGGCCCCGTGAGGCTCTGGTACGAGACAGTAAGTGGGACAGCTGAGGCTGGCTGGGATTTCCTTCCTGTGGCTGGGGAGCTGCTCTTCGATCCTCTGGAGACGGTGAAAAGTGTACAAGTCCAAATACTCAATGATGACCTTCCCGAAGGCCCTGAGGAATTTTCTCTAATAGTTACTAAAGTGGAACTCCAGGGAAGGTAAATGAAAAATGAAAGAAAGTATGAGAACAGGCTAAATATTATTTTCTTCAATGTCCAAGATAGTACTGCTTTCTTTGGAGTTAAAAGATATGTTTCTATTGTGTGGATTCATTCTGTACTGCCAAGTAGTTCAACAAGACAGGGGTGTGTAGTAACTTATGAAATAATAGCTTAACTGTTGTCAAGGCCAAAGGTCAACTATGAGGCAAAATTTGCTCTCACTATTTCTCCTCTTGGGAGCTGTTGTGGTTTAAAGGATAGGGAGTTACACTGCCAACCCACAGTGGGTGGGTTGAAGTCACAGGAGAAAGGTGAGTACTCTCCTTTCATATGATTTACATTCTCTGAGAACCTACTGGAGGGCCAGCCATGAGTTGGTACTGACTCAACAGCAATGCGTTTTGCTTTGAGTTTATTTCTCTACTAAGAAAGGAAGCTCGGGTAGCATAGAGATAAGAAGCTGCACTGCAATCATAAAGGCATGTAGTTCAAATCCACCAGTTGCTCTGTGGGGGATGGATAGGCAATGTTCCATGTGATTTACTGCCTCTGAAAATCCTCAGACCTCTGGAAGGTCAACTGTGAGTCAATTCCCTCCTGAAGGGCACACGACATCAACAATTTAAGAAAGGATTGGGGCATATGTTTCTTTCCTTGGTCAGTGAAGCCTGTTTTGGGTTCTTTGTGGGTGAATGAAGGTGCTCTGCTGGCCTTGTCTGTAGGGGATTGCACTGCTAACCCAAAGGCAAGCCTCTTTAACCATTCAAATCCACCAGCAACCTTATGGGCGAAAGATGGACAATCTATACTCACACAATTTGATGGCCTTCAAAACTCAAGGGAGGATCACTTATGAGTTGGCTCTGATTTAATAGCAATACATGTGAGGTTTGTTTTTGTTTTTTGGTTTTTCTAGTTTATGTTGCTGAATGAAGATAGGTATTTACTCAATACAAGTTTTAAAGTTAAAGTGATAAATTTGAGTTCAAATAGAGAGTTGGTCATTTGTGTGTACCATACACTCAGTGAAAATCAGTAATTAAGCATATGAATCCATGTTCATCATCTTTATCATGAGGTTAAATTACATGGAGCCTATGTCACTGTTGAGAAGGGGGCAGGCACATTTAGCACATATGAAGTACTCATGGATCAGAGGTTCTCAGAAGGCTCTCCTTTTGGATAAATTAACATAGAGCCTGGTCGTCCAAAAAATAATATTTGTCATTTGTTTAGCACCTGAAGTAATTTGTTTGGTGCATGAAATGTTTTACATTTCCTAGCATTCCAAAGGTATACAGTGTGAATCTATCAACTGCCCCATGGGAAAAAGAAAGATGGATAAACTCCTATTGCGTGATTTCCTGCCTCTGAAAACCCACTGGGGCTATGAGTTGGTTGCAGTTTGACAGTACACAACAACGACAACAACCTTTCTCTTTTTACAATGTGGATTACATAGAGCGCACCTGGGAAAACGTATTGTGCATTCACATACACCTCAGTTCTTTGGTTTTCCAGAAATTATTCTGGCCTTACATTGGAAATAAATGTTAAGTATGTTAAGTTTTGAGCTGATCGCTGATTTTTTTAAGTAAATAAAAATTTATGAAAGTGGTTCATTGAATACAGATTCCTATCTTTATTAGTGCCATGATGATTTTTCCCTCTCTGATTTTGAGCAGAATTAGTTCTACTTAAATTAAACTCTGTAGGAAAATATTTCTCTTTACATTTCTAGGCTTCCTTAAACCTGAAAGGAAAATACTATCATCCTATAAGTTTCCATTCTTGTCTTAATGACAGAAATTTTGCTGTTTTACTGTTTAATATTACAGTCAGCTAATGAGGACTCCATCTAGACTCCTGATAGAAGTTACTCTAACCATTTAATATTTTAATCTCCAGTTTTCAAGACTTGTCTTTTGTATAATCTTGCTAACCAGCTTCTAGCCTTTCAGAACTTAATAGACTATAAATAGCACCTAAGTAGAATTTTAGCATTGAAAGAAGAAATAAAATAACAAAGTGCTTTTTTTTAAAGCCCCAGAAATTAAAGAATGATATAAAATCCTGAAATTAAAACTTTTTGTGTGCTGGGAGTAATGTCAATCTGAAAACAGCAAAAAACTAAACAAACTAACAAAAAACAAACTTGGTAGACACGTATCATTAGAGAAGCATGGCACTGAAAGAGTAAAGACAATGATTATCTTGATTTATTGGAAGTTAAAATGTTTTCTCAGATATTGCTGATTTATCTTGAAATATATTTAGTGGCATGGCACCATTTCTTGACACCTGCTACTGTGACCCTCAAGGCCCACTGGGCGGCTTACTGGCATGTAGCACGCTGCAGTGCATTGTACATTCCAGTACTTGGCCCATTGCTGTGGTAGATGTTCAGGATCGCTAACCTCAGTGATTTTGTTTACTACAGTTTCTTTCCCATTTCCTAATCGTTTTGTTATCATCTCATGCCCCAAATATAGTAATGTTATATTAGTTTTTATTTTGTGCTGATAGTAATAATTGGAACTAGCACAGAAAATTTCTAAACAAAGATTTTATGGGAGCTGAGGACACACAAGTTTATTATGAAAGATCAAAATGCCTACTAGTTCTAGATTTTAGGAGCTAAGAGGGTTCTCCAGTTCATGTTAAGCAATGAGATACGTCTTTTCTTTTTCATGAATTCTCCAGAGGGTATGATTTTACTGTTCGAGAAAATGGACTCCAGATAGATCAACCACCTGAAAAAGGAAACATCTCTGTTGTTCGAATCATAATAATGAAAAATGACAATGCAGAGGGCATCATTGAATTTGACCCAAAATATACTGCCTTTGAAGGTAGGTTCGGTCACTTTAACTTGTGCATCAGTTTACAATCAGTGAATGACATTACCTCTTTGTCAGTTTGAATGTCTCAGTATAGATGTATTTGGTTTAGTGTTAAATGTGTGATACCCACATACGCACATCCCTATTCAGGTGCACATATTTATTTTTTTTTAGTTGCACATATTTTAAAAAAATTGAAGTATATTTGGACAGCCTTGAATCTTACCTTGTGTATGGCAAAACAGAACCGTTAGCAGTAAGGCAAGGTAGAAAAATTACGTTAAACTTTAGGATTATGGAAATATTTTTATTTCATAAATTTTATGAGACTAATTTATTCAATCTTTAATATTATTAAGTATTAAATGCATGTCAATGTCTAGGTTTTAATGAATAATCACCTTGGAAAAACATTATTTTATTGGCCTGCAGATGAAGGTGGTTTCTGGATTCTTGATCTTGTTTGCCAAGATACTTTGTACTAATTGCCTGAGATGGCCTAGTCTTCCCTCTTATAGAAGTTGCATGCAAGATGGAGGCATATATTATTTCTTGAGTAGAAAGGTGTAGGAAATCATTTTACTCAAAGGCAGAATGTGAAAACAATTTTAGAAATCACATGGTTTTTTCTTACTGTTAACTAATTATTTTTATTACCTTCATCAAAATTTAATGTATAGCTAGTTAGCTGATGTTATTATTCGTTTTAAGACATCATTTTAATTTTGTGAACTTTAGTTCAAAGCTACTAGAAGTCATGTAGTGTTTTTGAATCAAGAAATAAATTAGACTTTAAATTGTGTACTTAATTGGTTAACTGGTTTGGTTTTGACTTGCTATCTTTGGGAAATTTTGGACAATGCATTTTACATTTCATTTATAAGTCCAGAGTTGTTTAACTATGAAATGGAATACAGCTGATGGCATTGAGTATTTATGGTATTTTTTGTTTATGTCATGTGAGTTCTATTAAATGGTACTTTAATATGCAGAAATTAGAATAGTTTGAGAAGAAATATAGTTTGTAAAATACTTAAAGTGAAATAAAATATTGATGACTCAGATTCACAAGTAGCTTTTGTAAGAACTGGAAATGTAATAGAATTTATATTTGGACTTTTTCAATGTTTATATGATATAAATAAGCAAATCTTATTTGTTGATATCTTCTTATTTACATTATCACTTAGTTTTTTACCTTTGTTAATACAGAGTGCTGTGTGTTGAGCACCATCATTGTCCCCTTCTCCATCTTTTATTTTCTTGGAAATTACTCACTATAATTTTCAACTTTCATACACTTATGAGACTTTGAAATATAAGTGATGATTATATTACTAATACTTTCTTTTAAGTGTTCACTGAAGTGCTGTGGGGATGAATGTGGCTTTGCATAGCACTTTGGTGTGTAATGGCACGTTTAATTTGATTAGCCCTCCATAAAAGCTAGCCTTCCACTAATTCTCAGTACCTTTTTCAGTGGAGGAAGATGTTGGGATGATCGTGATTCCGGTGGTGAGACTGCGTGGCACCCACGGCCTGGTGACAGCTGACGTCATCTCCCAGAGTTCCTCTGCCTTTCCAGGGGGTGTGGACTACATACTGCACAGCAGTGCTGTGATCTTTCAGCATGGGCAAAATTTAAGTTTTATCAATGTCTCCATCATTGATGACAATGAAAGGTAATAATATTCAGTAATACCGAGCTCTGGTGGCTTATTGGTGAGGAACTGCACTGCCGACCCAAAGGTATACTGTTTGAATCGACCAGCTAGCTGCTCTGCAGGAGAAAGATGGGCTTTTTTCTCCTCTGTATTTTGCTGCCTCTGAAAATCTGCTGTAGGATCAGCTGTGAGTCAGTTATAAATGGACAGAACTCAACAGCAACAATAATAATAATATAGAAAAGAATAAAAATGTACAATAACAGCCTAATCTGTTATAATTCTTGCATGAGGTCTCCTGAGGCACAATGGTCAAGCCCACACCTATTAAATGAAAGATTGATGATTTGAGCCCATTTAGCAGCTCAGTGACAGACAAGAGCTAGAAGTCAGTTCTCTTAAAGATTACAATTTATAAAATTAGTGTTGACAGTAAGAATACAGCTGTATCTGACCTCTGCTAACTCCACGGTGGAAAGTCTTCCACATTGACAAGACCCACAGAATAAACCAATGGTCTCCCCCATTCCTGCACCTACTTCTACTAGTTCCAGAACCAATCTTACTACTCAGTTGTGTCCTATATTCATTGCAATGACCATACACATATGACAGAAGCATACTTACAGTTAAGGAGTTTATTATGGAATTGAACGAGTTATAATTCATGAGTCTAGATAGCTCATGGGTACTTGCATGCCCTTTGACCTTCAGTTTCATGGCTAAGGTCAGTGTCCTAAAGTTCCTTTGTTGTGGTGTTACCATAGGGTTGGAACTGACCCATAGCTGACCCTCTGGTTTTCAGAGGCAGTTAATCATGCAGATTCTCACGGAGCAGCTGGTGGCCTCGAAATGTATGCCTTCAGGACTGTAGCACAGCTTCTTGCCACCAGGCTACCAGAGCCCCTTGAAGGATCATGTTGTTATTGTTGTTGATGTGTGCCGTCGAGTCATTTGCGACTCATAGCAACCCTATGTACAACAGTCCTAAACCCTGCTCTATCCTGTACCAATCACATGGCCTCTGACATACCCATCCTGATTACCCCAGTCACGGAATCAACTCACCTCATAGAGGGTCTTCCCCTCCTGCGCTGTCCGTCTACCCTACCAAGCATGATGTCCCTCTCCAAGGACCTGTCTCTCCTTACAACATGTCCAAAATATGTCAGACGAAGCCCCAGAATTCTTGCCTCCAAGGAGCAGCCTGGTTTAACCCTCTCCAGGATGAATTTGTTTGTTTTCTTGGCAGTCCATGCTACATTCAGTACTCTTCTCCAGCACCACAGCTCAAAGGTGTCAATTCTTCTATCCTCCCTAGTCATTGTCCAACTCTCTGATGCATAACAAGTGATTGCAAAGACCATGGCCTGTATCAGGCAGACCTTAGTCTCCA